ACTTGAGCTTTTTCTGCTTATGTGGTGCTGAGGAATCGAACCCAGAGCCTCGAGCATGCAAGGCAAGCGCTCCTACCACTGAGCCACCTTCCCAGCCCCACCTCCAACCTTTTCTGTGTATGTGGTACTGAGGAATGGAACCCAGGGCTTTATGTATGATAGGCAAGCATTCTACCACTAAGCCATATTCCCAGCCCAATGTAGTATCTGTAAGAATAATTTTACAGGGGCTGGGAAGTTGGCTCAGTGGTAGAGCGCTTGCCTTGCATGCATCGAGGCTCTGGGTTCGATTCCTCAGCACCACATAAGCAAAAAGAAAAAAGCCGGAAGTGGCGCTGTGGCTCAAGTGGTAGAGCGCTAGCCTTGAGCTGAAGAGCTAAGGGACAGCGCCCAGGCCCAGAGTTCAGGCCCCACGACAAAAAAAAAAAAAAAAGAATAATTTTACAGAGTAGACTTCATTTTACAAAAGCAAGAATTAGCATGCCAAGTTAACACCTCTTTGTACCAGGGGTTAGGGAAGCTGATAGACTTTACTCCCATGGAAACAGGCCTTTGAGATAGTTGGGAGTGTGTACCCCATGTAGAATGGACTCACCTGTGAAGGACAGAAGCCAGTAGATGAGTATGGGAGGATCTGTAGGCAGAGCGCATTAAATGCCAGGGAAGGAAAGAGAAGGAACAATGAGTCCTACTTATGCTCCAGGTGAAAGGACTTTAATTCCCATAGGACGGGTGATGCCAGAGACAGGAAGTGGACTGGAGTAACAAACATCTGGTGTCCTCAGAGAAGGATGGCTTTAAGGTCACAGCAGTTTACCCCAGCACACATGCAGCGTCTAGCCACTTCCCATCTCCTCCCCTGCACCCGTCTGTCATCCAGGGCATTATAACTGTTTGGACCTGGAGTAATGCCCTGTGACTTCATGGCTGGGCCAGAAAGTGGTGATACAGCTTCTACCTTGCAGGGGGAAGATCCACTTCAATACCGTCACCCTTCTGTGAAGCACCTGCCTGCCTGTCTGCACCCACCACAAAACAAGCCCAGGAAGGGACCATATGGAAAGCAGTGGGGCTCACCGGCACTCACGGTTCCACTCCCATCTACCATGTCGAGTACTTGCATGAGACCCAAACCGTAACAGACTAATAAAGATACTACTAATAATAATTAGAGCAAAAAGGGCTGGAATTGTGATTCAAGTGATAAAGTGCCTGCCTAGCAAGCTATGAATTTAAACCCAATTACTTATAGTTTTAAAAAAAGTTTCAATCTACCAAGTTTTAAAGTATTTTTCTTTTTTTGTGGTCAGTTGTGGGCCTTGAACTCTGGGCCTGGTGTTGTCCCTCAACTCTTCAGCTCAAAGCAAGTACTCTACCACTTGAGCCACAGCACAGCTTCTGGTTTTTTGGTGGTTAATTGACGAGGCTCAAGAGAGCCGGGCGCCGGTAGCTCATGCCTGTAATCCTAGCTACTCAGGAGGCTGAGATCTGAGGATCATGGTTCAAAGCCAGCCCGGGCAAAGAAAGTCCGTGAGACTCTTATCTCCAATAAACCACTAGAAAACTGGAAGTGGCACTGTGGCTCAAGTGGTAGAGCCCTCCCCTTGAGCTGAAGAGCTGAGTGATAGGGCCCAAGCCCAGAGTTCAACCATGACCGACCAAAAAAAAAAAAAAATAAAAAAAAATCTCACAGACGACTTTCCTCTCTGTGATAGCTTTGAACCATGATCCTCAGATCTCAGTGTCCTGAATGGGATGAAAGGTATAAGCCACTGGCTCCTGGCCCGTAGTTTATTTTTTATTTTTAAATTTTTATTTTTAAATTTTTGTCCTGAACCCTGGGCCTAATTTATACAAGGCAATTGTTCTACCCCTGAGGGATAGCCTGGGATTGAATTCAGGGACTGGGCTCTATCCCTGAGCTTTTGTGCTCTACCACTTGAGCCACAGCACCACTTCTGGTTTTCTGGTGGCTAATTGAAGATAAAGAGTCTAAGATTTTCCTGCTTGGACTGGCAGATCTCAGCCTCCTAAGTAGCAGGGACTACAGGCATGAGCCACTGGTGGCTGGCGAGATACTGTTTATACAGATGGGGACACAGAACCTTCAAGGTTCTGTCCTGTCTTTAGCTCCTCTACCTCCAGCCTCCTACGTCCTCACTCATCATCTGATGAGTGCGCAGGACTCCCACACTCTACCCTTAACTGTCTAGGCGTTTCTGCTGCTCTTGACCACACAGTAAACTCCGGCCTCAGGTCCTTTCCATTTGCTGGGCTCTCTTCTTTGAGTCCTGCCAAAAAAATATGAAAGGGATGATGAACTCAGAAAATAACCAATGGATGCTCAATTCGCCTGTTTTTTTTTAATTGTGAAAATACTGTACAGAGGGGTTACAATAACATGGGCAAGATAGCCTGGGTTTAATATGGAATAGGAAACTTGTACTGTCTCTGAGTGTCAGAGCCTCGGGTGCTGCTTAGCTCCACTACATTTCATTGCAGAGCAAGCTTCTTGGTAGTCAGAACGACGGAATGAGCACAGGGAGGGCATGGGCACTGGCCACTTCCTGGCAATGCTGGGTTTCCCTATTAAGCAGTTTCTTCCTCTCCCACAGGCTTTATGCAGTTTGCCTCTGAATGCTGTACTAACTTTATCCCGGCATTGGCTTGCCTAAAGGCCTGTAAGGCACAAAGTACTTACCTGCAAAACATTCACCAGTTAAAAAGGTGAAAACAGAGGGGAAGCCTCACAAATCGTAATCAGGTGGTCAGGGCTATCACTGCCAACCGTGGGGTAGGTAGAAGGCAGGCAGCAAGCACAGGTCCTGGACGGCCAGGACTATGGACGTGGTCCTAGATAAAACTGGATCCACCCACAAGACAGACCCAGCTTTCCTGATCTTCAAAGAAAGGTCTTAGGTTAGCAAATGCCTCACCAAATAGGTGCCAGCAAAAGGGGGCTAAGAAGGATTCTGCTAAAACTCCCGGGGCCGGAAGAGCTGGGATCAAATCCCGGGCGAGCAGGCCCTTGGTGGGAGGAGGGCGACTCCCCTGCGACCGCGGGCGCCCTGCGGTGCCCGGGACTCCGGCCGGAGCCTGGTCTCCAGTGCAGGGGGCATGCGCAGGC